GTACCTAGCTATATTTATGACAGCACAGAATCCCAATCCAATTTGAGCCAATTTCGGTTGTCAGACAAACCAATTAAGTGAGCGTTGAACCTTGTTTGTCTATCTGTATTCTGCAAACTTTCATTTCGTTTTTAGGTTTTTTTTTAAATTAATTTTTATGGCTCTTATAATGTTAATTAATTGATGATGTTCTCTTACAAATATCAAGTGCACTTTTTCATTAAACTAACTAACCTAATTGATTTAATGAAAAGCTATTAAAAATAAAAGAAATTACAGAGCTTTCCTGCACAATAATTCGGATTTATATCAATTGGCAGCAATGAATGTCGATTCCGTTTTTCAGCAGAGGTTTTTGTGGGCGTGGCTTTATTACGTTCTAAATATGATTTTAATTCCAGTTATTACATTTCATGGAGCTCTCGTTTTTCGCTCCCATTTACGGTAAATATCCAAATTACAGGCATATTTTCCTCTCTTTCCCTGTGTCCCGCTTAACGTGTATTTTTTTGGCGTAGTTGGGAAAGTTCGACCCTAACTAATTGGACTGCAAAATGTAAACCTTTGACGGAAGTAAGCTAACAGTATTGTGGTAAGGAATGTGTGCTTTAAAATGAATGTTTTAAATGTTATTTTATGCTTATTTGATTTAGGTATGTAGGCTGGATAAAGTGGCACGGTTACGTCCATGATAACCTCCAATTAGAGCTGAATTCGGTTTTGGTGATCTCCGAAGTGACCCGCCCTAATCTGGTTGAGTGCCGGGCAGTGACACAGTAGGAGCTCCGGTGTCTCCTGCTCGCTTGTTTAATTTACTACTATTGCGAAATTTAAACAAATATAAAGTTATATTTTAAAAAGGATAACACAGGCACATAACAATTTTTTTTTAGACATTCGTGATAAAATCTATAGAAATTTATACTAATAGAAAGTAAAAATGGTTTTAATATTAAAAAAATAATAATAAAGGCAAATAGAAGGCACAACTGAATTCTAAATTTTGTACTAATTTAAAGAATTTAAAAATAAACTATTTTTCAGCTGTTGAACTACCAAATACAATAGTGCCCATAGAAAAAATCCGATATTTACTATCCCCCAGATCGTGGGTGACTCCGGGACCGCGCGTCTGATGTCAATAAAAAGCCAAGAATAATTGCAAATAGCCTGGCCAACTGATCGACCGAATAAGAATAAGAACAAGATGGCACGGGCGATGAATAAGCACAAAAGGAGGAGGAGGAGAATGAAATAGAATGAAACGAAATGAAATGCACCAATATAAACACACAGGCCACAAATTGCAAGGCAAAGCGAAGGCGAAAAGCAAACAAACAAACAACAAACAAGCAAATGACGATGACGAGAAAAGACGCGAGAAACGTAAAACAACAACAAAAGCGCACAAGAAGAAGAGAAACACGAAGCAGCAGCAGCAGCGGCGGCGGCGTCGACGCCAGAAACGTGCGAATGGCGCTCGTCGGCAACGCCGGCAAAGGCAGCGACTGCGGCAGCGGCAGAGACGCGCCGGCCATTGAACCTGCAAGTGGAGCTCAGAATTGGCGAAAGTGAAGACCCACTGCCGCAAGCGGAAGAGGGACAGAGGCAGCTAAAAGAGAGAGGGAGAGAGAGACAAGCTACGCACGATCTTCACAACTCTGCGGCAGGTAATGTTGTTGTTGTTGTTGTTGTTGTGATGACGCAGCAACAGTAACAATAAAAAGAACAATGTGAATAATCTAATAACGATTTCCCGAATACCCTCACGACAAATCGAAGAAAACACTGAGATAGCCAGGAAGGCTCTCTCTAAATTGTTGCCTACTTTTCAGCAGCATTATCCGGAGAGTCCTATATAGTTTTGTTTACTGTTTTAAGAATTCTAAATCGATTTCCTATACTGAAATAAATTATTTATTAAAGTTAAATTTAAGTTTAAAAAAAGACGTTGCCATTTTTATTTAAACGTAAGTACTTTCAAGTGCTATTTACATTTTAAAAACATAAATAATAAATAATAAAAATGTCAAAATAAAATGTTATGACGTCATTTTCCATAAGCTACATATAATACTCTCAGCAAGGGTATTCAAACACAAAGCTGATGATGCTGCAGAAACAAGAAAATGCGATTAGAAGAAGTGGTTGGCAATGGCAGGATGGTGGCTTCAGAAGAATTCCAGAAAGAAGGAGACACACTGACTGACTAACAGATTGGCTGACTAACTGACTGACTGACTGACTCTTGGCTTCTTCTTCTGCTTCATCATCATTAAGTTGATTATCATTGCGGCTCTTCCTCTGGCCGGCTTTAATGCAGTCACTTCTTGGAAGTGAACCCAACCACCGAAAATAAAAGAAAGACTCCACCAAACGGCTGAAAAGCGAAAGAACCCGAGAAATTCTGAAATTCTTGATCGCATCGCGCACACGCAACGGGCGAGTGAGAGAGAGAGAGAGAGAGACGACCGATGGGGCAATTTGTTTAAAATGTAGGTCTATGGGTTTCACGAAATCCTCTATGGGGCACCGGAGCCCCCATGGCAACACGGATCGCAGATGGGAATTTAAAAGAACAAGAGACTGAATGACTGTGTGAAAGAACGGGGAAGGGAGACGGTTGGAGTGGCTTTTTGCTTTCCTTACATTATAAGGCCAAAAGTTCTGACAGAAGTTAAGCCATATCACGCGATGTCAATAAGAGAAATTGGTAGAACATGCTATTTTAAGAATTTACTGAAACTGTATTGAATAAAAAATTAGTCAAGCATTTCCTGATAATTTGTTTTTTTAATTAATTAATATAGATATTAAAGAAATTTTAAAATAGAAATTGTATAATTTCTAATTTTTTCAAAATTCAATTCGAAACATAAGCGCAAAAAAAAATAGGTAAAAAAAAATAAAAAAACATTCTTGTCTATATTTTTAACATATTGTTTGTTTTGAAAACTGCTGCTTTTCTTCAGCAAAATAACAAAATAAAATGCAACTCATAAACTCTGAGATTTGATGTTAAATCGCCTTAAAAGCAATTTTCTTGCCCAAGATATTTGTTGCTTATGTGTTTTTGTGTTTCTTTTATTCATTCTGGCCTAATGTCATTACACAAAAACGAATTCAAAGCAAACCGGCGAAAAAAAAAGTGAGTCAAAGCAATTTGTTTTATGGCACGGCGTCTGGCTAAATGCATTTGGCATTTTATTACGGTGGCGGATTTATATTCGCAATTTTTTATGATTTAATGCCGGTCAGCTGCTGGCCCAAAAGGATACATAGTTAGACGAAATGTTTTACGTGCGTGTTGTGCAATAGTTGGCAGTATTCATGCTTCGGTGTGTCCAGTAATTAACAAATGGTTTGAAGTGCCAATAAAGGCTGAATGGATTTTTTTTAGGAAAAAAAAAAAAACATTTTGTATTTGGTTTCCAACAATTGTATTTAAACTATTTTACAAAAACATAGAAAGCGTTTGCTGTTTCAAATAAAAAAAAAAAAATACAATATAAAGTAAATCAAATCTGACAAAATCATTTCATTTATCATACGCCCTGTGTAACGTACGGAAGTGTGATTTAATTGATTGCATATGTACATAAAATGAAAAGCAAAACATTAACATATTTCCATTACATTAATTCTATGAAATTAAATAACATAACGCGGTAGTTAAACCATAGAGAATTTTACGAGTAAAAAAAACACCCATACGCCCTGTGGGCCAGCGGAGAATATATAACAAGTAAACAGCAGTAAACAATTCATAAACTAACGAAATGGGCAATATTCATGAGGCTGCCGCGGGTTCAAGAACGTTCATTTGGCATGAACTTGTAAAGGTCACCAAATCTTTGCAATAGAAGTGAATGCACTCGACCAACAACAAGCACAGCACAGCTACAATTTAAGCTCTCCAAAGCCGGCAATAAAAATAATAATAAACCGCCAGAAAAAAAGAGACTCCGGCTGACAGCTGCTACTTACTGCTTACTGCTGCAACCGCAATTTAAACTAATAACTTGCAGCAGGGGCACGGGCACGGGTACCGCACAGACAACAACAACAACAATCTGCAACAATGGCAATGACAATAATTTATTTTTGAATTAATTTTTATTCGTTCGCTAAGCGAGAACAACAGCAACAATGGCAATAGACGTATGCAACTTTCAACCACAGAGACATTGTCATCTGCACAGTGGTCAGCATTCTTACTAAAACTGAGGCCAGAGTTTATTGATAAATTATTATAAAAGGATAAATAGGTACAAGTATTAAATTTAGCCATAAACCCTGAGATAAATTAATATAGTTCTTATAGTTCATAAAAAAACATATAAAACGTACATTTCCAAAACTTTTTAGTAAATTAATTACTGAAACTCGTTCTTGTTTAAAGTATGATAAATAGATTTTAAGTGATTTTTAGTTTCTATTTTTAGAGGAATTAGTATTAATTTTTATTTATTTATTTTTCCAACTTTGTTTTGTCTTTTATAAGATTTTTGTTACACAGTGCCTGGCTGTCGCCGCCGTTGGTCTTCGGTTTCAGTGACTGTGACTGTGACAGTGACAGTTGTCATAGCGCGACGCCGACGTTGGCCTCCATTGCAGCGGCTGCAACTGCTCCCCGGCTGCTCCTCCTTTTCCCTCTCCCACTCCCACCTTAAACTGCCAGGCATTGCCATTGTCCAGTCCCCCCCTAAACCCCCTCCCTGTCTACAGTCATCAACGCCCTCGCACACGTGTCTCCCGCCCGGGTGGGGGTCTCTCTCCGTCTCCCGTATCTGTGTGTTATTGACACTGCACACTAACGGTAGATAAAAGCCAAACAGGGCACACAACTCACAATGTATGCAGCGATCCGAGCAGAGCTGAACTCAGCCGACGAACAGAGGCACCCAGCCAGCTCCTCCGGCTCTATTTAATTTTCTATTCTAGATTAAATTATAATAAATTGCAATTTTTCTGCCTTATTTACTCTGTTGTTTTTTTTTTCTATTTTTTGCAATGCATTGCGCAATGCTTTTTCCTGTTTCGGTCGTCTGGCAATTTGTTTTGTCACGCCTTGTTGAGAGATTTTCTAGATCACAACTCGAAACGAGATGCAGATGGGCGCCCACACGGCAAAAGGTGCTCTCTCACTCAAAAGTAAGTTCAACCAGAGCGCTGGAGATGTATATTTTCACAATCATTGAAGTATCTTCGTGTATTTAATTTGAAATGGGTAAGTTGGTTTACTTTTAGTGAACACAAAGGCTGCCAAATACGCAAGGAACACAAACCATTCAAAAATATGTTAAAAATTGAAATAAATGATGTACAGGAGCAGGAAGCAGTAAAGATCCTCCAAACTACCACATTAAAGCCTTTCGCGCGAAAAAGCTTTTGTTAAACCTTGTTTTGAAAGCCAGCCAGCTGCACCCTTTTTTATACCTGCCCCACAAGAAAACAAATCTATTCTCATCTATTCCTTTGTCTACTCCTCTATCCTTTTTTTTCTACCTAGAAAACCAAAGCTGAAACCCAACTCCCTCCATCCAACGTGTGTTCTATAAAATCGAATCAAAACGAACCCAAAATTTAGCAAATGCGCCATTTGAAGTTGCCTGAATTTGGCACGCCTTTGGATTTCACCCCAGCACCCATTTGAGAGTGTGTGTTATCATATTAAAACTTGACCTACATACGAGCTTAATAACCGGTATGTTACACTAAGGAAACTTTTCGTTGGGTTGCCACAGTCACTTAGAAACTTTGCAACAAATTGGGTCCTGGAAAGTTTTCTAATGGACAAAAATTAGTTTAAGATTATATACTCATATAATTTTTGAGCTGCTGTTTTTATTAGATTTTATTTCTTGAAGAAAAATAAATAATATAAGTGATGGCTTTATAGTTCTTCTCTGTATGCAAACGTTTTGTATTACACAATTGAAGTTGATACCGCTCTCAAACTCTGACCCTTTGGGCTCGCCTTTCCTTCAGTTTTATCGCTCTATTATGGTTTTATGGCTGATTGTTTCAACTTGCAGCGTTCTTAGCTGGGATTTGTTTGTTTTAGCTCAGCTTAATTTCCCAAATTTTCCCGCCAGCAACATGAGCCAAACAAAAGTGATTCGAGGAAAGTAATGGGGAACAAAATGCATTGTTTGTGCTTTGATTTCCCGCCCACTCCCTCACCACAACTCAGAAAAAGTTCAACAAACTTGAATCGAAGAAAACCAATTGATTGGTATGGAAATGTAAATGGAATTTTCTGGCTCTTCCTGAAAATGTTATAAACAAAAATATAAATTGGGCATAAACTTGTTAGCCACAGATGGTTTGCTGAAGATTCTTTTAATTTTGGGAATAAAATCAGTAAAGCCTTTTAAAATAACATAATAAAATACGAAAGTCTACATGTTTGCAGTAAATTATATATTATAATACCATATCACAAAAGTGTTAACTAAACCTTCTGAGAATACTTAATATTATTATTCAGGTCTGGGCAGAACTATTAATACACCATCGAAAAATCTAAAAAAAATTAAAAAAAACTCTCTAAGCAATTATCAAACTGAATTTGTTTCCCTTTTGCTTTTTTTTTTTGGTTAAACTGCAATTAACTTTAATCCATTGCCCAATTGCTTTGGCCTGCCCTTTCAGAGGTGGCTCAATTAAAGCCTGGCTATAATGCAAATACGCTGTGAAAAATCAAGAAATACCATAATCATTGCCATTTGTCCAGAGCTCTACGATCTTTTGCAATTCTTGGAAAAAGGCAAAGCGGGTGGTTTTTCCTTTCCCGACTCCAACTGTGAGTTGGCCAGCAGTTTCAATTATTTATTTTAATTCGTTTGTCACTCCGCCTGTCTCTGATGTCTGACGGACAGGCTTTGGGTTAATGCTGAGATCGAGTTCGCACAAGTCTCAATTATGTGTTGGCAAATTAAGTAAATTAAATTACAATGAGAACATTGTTGGGTCGGTCCGATGCCGACGAGTGCAGGCTTCATTATGTGCATTTAACGTAAATTTTTCAATTATTATGCGATTTAGAGTGCGCTCAATGTCGGCGATTTCTTGCACTCACTGTTCAAGAATTTAAATCCGAGTTCTGTCTTTATTTTTCCTTAAATTTTTTTTTTTTTTTTTTTTTTTGTGCTGGCTCCTCTCAGCCGAAGAGCAATTTAAGTGCATTTTATTTTTTGCATCTTTTCTCGTTGTTTGCCTTTATCTTGTGGCATGTTTTATTTATTTCGCTGCTGCTCTTGTGATTATTATTGTGTGTTTGCCCCGTTGCCGCCGCTGTCGTTGTCGCAATTTTGCCTGAAAATTGGTTCGCAGTTGACCCAGTTTTTTGTTGCAGCAGCAACAGCAGCAGTAACAACAGCAGAAGATGGAATTAATGCTCGATTTGGCATCAGCGAAAAAGAGAGAAATAAAATTAATTCGAACACGGCAGCGGCAGCAACATGTTGCAAAGGGACTGCCATTAATGATTCATTCAGAATTTATAATTCCCTTGCAGTTACTGGGAACCAAACTACAAATTTTTCCCAAAACTAAATTATTCGTGTAAATCATATGGCGTAATGAAAATTGGAAAATGAAAAGCTACCAATTTCAGAAATTGTAAAAAGATTAATTCTCTCGAAATATGTAATAAAAAACTTCTAACTACATTTGCCACCATTGTACCTTGTTCTGTAAAATTTGTGATTTGCATTAAAATAAAATTAAAATACCACAAACATATGTACAGGTAAAAGCAGCACTGCATTTAATAATTTTTTTAAATTCAGAGCAGAAAAATAATAAACGAATAAAATTTAACATCTGCTGGGGAAGTCAGACAACTAGTAAGGCAAAGACCAACACCGACACCGATCTTCGAGTATGTGTGTATAATCCCCCATTAAATGCATCAGGGAATGAGAAACAGCAACAAAATCGAGGGAAGCGGCAACAAAACTGCAATAACGAGCACAACCTATCCAAAAACCTGCTCCTTGAACAGAACACGGTTCTCAATGTGAGGCTTTGTTTTTTATTATTTATTTTTTTCAAGTGTATGCATTTTTCAGTTAGTTGCACATTATTTTTTTTTGGCAATCACTTCTTGTTCTTTATGTATCCGTGCTAACTTAACCCAAATAACATTGCAGTTTTGACCTGTTTTACATTTTTTTTTGGCACAAGGAAGTTGCAATACAGAGGGGACCAAAGGATGTCAACTGTGTGTGCAGGATTGGCTTGAGCAGATGCTGCACTTTGCCAGATATACCATACATACATATGTAAGTATGTATATCCCCGGTAAACCGACTGATACCTCTGGTTAATCCTCATGACCAAGGCAGCCAGGAAGTTCGAGTTTGAGAACAAGTTTCCAATGCCGCTGGGCTATCATTTAAGATGGCAAAAATGTTGCAGTTTACTATAACTTCAGGTTAAGCGATACCGCGTATAAAATTATATTTAAATGTGAGAGTTTCATGAACATAAATTGTAAGAAAATGTTAGCCCTCTTGCTAAATAAAAATTAAGTAGTTTTTTAAGAGATGAAACCAAATACACAGCTAAAAACCCCAAGACAGAATTGATTTTGCCCATAGGAAGATTCGTACAAATATTATTTAAATTTTAAACTACAATTGGACTTCAATTTAGACCATCAATTAAGCTACTAAATGGGTACGTTTCCGACCACACTGTCGACTAATTAATTGACTATTCAGCTTTTGCAGAGTGGGAGTGATTTCCCGCTCAAACTGTATAAATCGGGCATCAACTCAATACCAACCGGTATCATTAGGATCTACAAAGTTGCAATCTTGATTGCAGTGGGAGCCGAACAGCCCCGAGGATTACACCTCCACTTTCCCCACCTTATCGAGAATAGAGAGCTTTTCGAACAGCCTGCCAAAATAAAGTGCCAAAAAAAAAAAAAAAAAAAAGAAATAGAAATCGACTTTATATAGTTACGAGTATTGCACTGAAATTGGGTCAGAGCTGATTGAAAACTCACCTTTTGGCATCAACTAAAATGCTTTTGCCCATATTGGCCAGGCCATTGGATGACGTTAGATTATCCGTACTTGGTATCGTCGTCTGTGAAGTGTGCGTACATTCTGAGGATGTGGAGCTGGAGCTGGAGCTGGTGCTGGAAGATGACGAAGACGACGACGACGGTGACGGGGAATCACTGGTTGCCTCAATTTCTGTGGCAACTGCCGCATCCGATGTGGCTGCTGTTGCTGAGATTGGCGGTACTGCAGTAGTCACTGGGGCTGCTGGGGCGGGCTCCAATTCGATTTGGAGGCGACAATCGGCAACTATTTTGGCCAGATTGCGTCGGCTAGCAGTCACCAACGGTACCTGCTCCGTGGTGGACTCGTTGTCGTTGTCGTTCTCATTGTCCGATCCCATATCGACCGGCTCAACACTTTCCACAATCATCAAATTCATTGGCATTTTTTCGTAATGAGTCGCTTCGCACTTTGCCTTTTTCTTGGCTTTCAATTCCTCGGCTTCCTTTGGAATTTTCGGAATTTTAGCCAACTTGCGAGGAGCAACAACACCGGCAGCGGCAGCAGCAACTGCAACTGTTTCCTGTTTGGCTGGTGTTGCTTGTGTTGCTGCTGTTGTTGCTGCGACTTTTAATGACTCCTCTACAACTTGTTCAGCTGCTCCTGCTGTTGACGATCCCGTCGAGTTTATTACCAACGAAGTCGTCGTCGTTGTTGCTGCCGCTGCTGCTGCTGCTGATGTTGCTGTTGTATTTATAATTGCCGGCTGTTGTTGCTGTTGCGTTGCTAGCGCTGCGGCTCCACCTTCTGGTATGATTGTTGCAAAAATTTGTTCGCCAAATATGAAAAGATCCTTGGAAATAATCATTATCACCTTTTTGTGAACGTTTTGCCCCTTTTTGCCTGTGTGCGTTTATGTATTTCGGGTATTTTAAATGTAAATCTTGTTCAACGTACGTATATATCGTATATATGTATAACTTTTTGCTCGCCTGAAACACGTTTCCTTTATTTTAATGTATTAAACATATTTTGCGGTTGGTTGGACTTTTTGGGGATTTCTTTAAGATTTCATAATTCCCTGGCCTTTTTTTTTTTTTGTCTGGTTCCTTTTTCTGTCTTTTATTTAGTCTGTAAAAGAGAAGAGTAAAGGGGGATTATTAATTAAATATGATTGCATGTTTGCCATAACTAATGAGATAAGTACGTTGTGATCCAATAAACAGGAAATTACGACTTGCTTTAGACTTTCCTAATTGATTAATTTGCTTGCAATTATATTTACAACTTGTTAATGGCAGTTACCTATTAAATATCCAATGAAAGCCACTTGTTCTTGTGCTAAACTTTGGTACTTAAATTAAACAAGTTTTTCATTCGGTGAAAATTTCTTGAAATTGATGTCTTTTCATATTTTTTCACTACTTTACAGAAGTAAAAATCTGAGTAGTTAAATAGAACAGGGAATGCAAAGTATAAAACTTTCTTGAAAATTTACACTTTCGCAAAACTAAATGTTCTTGATAACTTCGAGAAACTTCACGATATTTTGTTTAAAACTTTGTCCAAGTACACTTTCATTAATAAAATGCATGCTAAATGTTTACCTTTTAAATTATGTTTTGCGATAGAATGAACCTTAAATTCCCTTTATAAATATTTATAAATATTAACTTAGTCACTAAATCTTTATATTTTATTCACAATTCCAAAATTCAACTTGAACTCAAAATTAATCTTCAAAATTAAACTTTAATAAAAATTCAATCAAATTTCAATGAAAATCTCCCGATTTATAGTTTAAAAACTCCGAAACTGTTTAGTCGACGCGGCGTCTGCGCAAAATGTTATTTTCTCCCATCTGTTTCGCCCGCTGCAATTTATCAACAATTTGTTTTATGCACTGCCCCCGAAACAGTAACAGAAACAGACACAGAGAAGGAGAGGAGACAGGAACGGAATCGGGGAGAAATAGGAAGAGAGAGATGAGAAAGATCGAAGTGGAATTTTGTTATATTTGTCAATTATCCCGCGCGAAACAAAGCGCCAAAAAAAACGTCAGTTTTCATTTTGTGCAATTCGAGTGTGTGCGAATGAATGCGAATGTGAATAAAATATAAAAAGCGTGTACAAATAAAACATGACAAAAACAACGCACCCAGAAAGCAACGACAATGCGAAGACGAGTTGGGAACGTATTAAAATTCGTTCTTTCTTGTGATATTAAAAATCGTCAGCACTTTTTTTGCAACTCAATTTTTTACAATAATATATTTTCTTTCTTTTTTTTTTGTTTTATTCATGAAACATGTGTAGGTTTCTTGTAAACATTTTTGATAACACGCGACTTTTTCTTCAGAGCAGGGGGTATTTTTCGGGACTTGTAGAGCCGAAACCGAAAAACGAATATTACGAAAAGGCGAAAATCAAACGAATGGAGAAGGGCACAACGACGGAAACAACAACGATCGGCCAGAGAGCTATAGCTATTCTGCTTTTCCACACAACGCGAGTTCGGCGCGCTTCAGCATTGAAGAAAACATCCAACGGCGCCCGATTTCGATCTTGTACTGATCGCACAGACCGTTAAACGCTCCCGCCGTTGCCGCCTCTGCCGACGTCGCGGCTGGCGTCACGGCTGGCGTCGCTGCCAGGTACAGTGAACAGAAATCAAATAATATATTCAACTGGGAAATTTTGACATTTGTTCAATTTGAGTAAACGATCAATAAGCTAATACGGTTTTTCTTTAACATATAGACCAGCAATTTAATATAGCTAGGTTCTTATGATCGTGAATTGTTTGTTTAGTATTGTAGTGTAGTACATTATTTATTATCTGGCCTGTCACTCTCCATTTTATTTATTAGGAAATGTATTATTTATCATTAAATATTTATATATTAAAAAAGTTTACATAAATTGTTGATTAACTATTTTATGTTAATTCTGCTCGATAAGATTTTTGTCCCACTGTGGCGGGGAGCAAAGAGCTTGCCGAGTGACATTCATTCTCTCGCACAAGCTCTCGGTTGCCTCTCTTAGGCTCTCACCGCCTACGATCTGCACGTGCTTGGGGCTTTTACTCTCTACACAGCCTCTCTCCACTCTCTTCCCATTACACCGCTGTTACGATCAATTCCCTGACATGTTATTTACAAGCTCTGTAAAAGCCTCTGGTTGCTGATAATAATAATTGTTACAAAATAAGCATTCATCTGTGTAATTGCTCCCTTTTAAAACCAAAATATTAATTGTTCCAATTAAGATTAATTATTCTAGGCTTAACTACGCTATGCCGCTTCCTTTAACGAGTAGAAAAAAGCTGAAAATATGAACTTGATTTTAATTAGGTATTTAACAACTTTTTTTACTTTAATTTTTGAATTAATTTTTTCACATATACAACATTTTCCAGGCGTTTATTATAAAGTATTATTCTCATTGATAAATTTTGATTTAACAGCCTTACTTCTCCCTTCCTAACTACCTCTATTTCCATTACATTAAATTGAAGGTACATTGTAACATACATATATGTATGGTATGTATGTTTATTGCAGAGTCTGTTACTTTTCTGTTATCGGCTTTCAGCCGGCAAATCTCTGATAATGCTTCTTGGTAAAAAGCAATAACCCATAAAAGCTGGCCTGAAGCTTGACTGATCTTGGATTTCGACTTGGCGATAGAAGTTTAAGGTCTTGATTGGCAACCCAGAAGTCATTCAACAAGTTTCGAGACGTTTTTGGTGTAGCAGAGAACGGCTTTTACGCGATGCTTTGTGGCCCAAGCGTTTGAGTCATTTTATGAAAAAATTTCTTACTACTAAAATACAATACCACTTATATATAAATGCTTACGTTTACTGGTAAATTTATTTATTTTTAATAAATAAACAAAAGTGTATTAAAATAATAATAAAACCCTCCTTCTAAATTATTTTCACATGTTTGTCTTAACTTTTAAAATTCTTTCTAATTCGTTTAAGCAAATTTCTGCTTTCCAATCTTATCAGTCATTAAACTCGCAGAGGGCAGGCACTGCGTATACGCAATTTAAATGCGTATACGTACTGGCCGGGTGTGTGCTTGTGTGCGTAATCCATGGATATGCAATCGTGTGGGTGGCAAAGGAAGGAAGGAGAAACGGTAGAAGATCGAGAGGGAGAGAAAGAGAGAGAGAGTGAGAAGAACGCACTGGCGACTGTACGATAATAAAATGTGTCAGCTGTTTGGGCTTTCTGCCTGGGTCGTTGACCAAACGGCACATGGAAAATAACGCACAATTGCATATTAGGCCTAAATAATGATGAGTTTTCAGTTTCGCCAACCCCCGGACCGGGTGTCCATGGAATCACTAACTTTATTATGTTGCCATAAACTTAAGAACGAAAAGAAAAGAAAATAAAGTCGCCGAGGCGACCGCAATTCTTTCCTCTGTTGCCTTTGTTGTTGCAGTCTGCGTGAGCTCTTTTTTTTGTTATTGTTTTTTTTAATTTTCGGTGCGTAGCTCGGCCTCTCTATAAAAAAATTATATTTCTTGTTGCTGTGTCTTGGTTGATGGTGCTGCTGCTGGTTGTTGTTGCTTTTTATTTATACGCACAATGTGCAAAATGTGCGCGCACACACACACACTCGAACTCGCCTCACATACACGCACACGCACTTGCTCTTAACCTTGAAAAATAACACGGCGCGTTGCTGTTGTTGTTTTTGCTTTATGGCAGCTTTCTTTTTGTTTTTGTTCCCAGCTTGAGTTTAGGTGTTTACTGTACTGTGTGTGTGTGTGTTTTTTTGCTCTTGTTTTTCTGCGTTCGCTGATAAGATTCTTATTTTCTTTTCTTTTTCCCTTTTTTTTTGTGTAGAGTGCGTGCGGTCGTGGCTCCAATGTGTGTGTGTTTGAGAGAGCATACAAATATTGAAATACTAGACAAATTTTATTAAGCAAATTGGCGAGAATGTGAATAATTTTGCGGTATTCCAATTTTCATTTTGATTGTTTAATTTTTGAGTCTCATATATATAATATATAAATTTGTATGCTTTTGTATCTGTATTTTCCTAATTAATAATGTTTTCCTGCCTTTAATGATTTTAATGTCATTTATTGAATTTATATAAATTATTTGTTGTTTACTTTAAAAATTATTAATAAAGCTAAGTCTTAAAACAGCAGTATTTCCAATCCTTCTTACATTTTTTTTTTCTTATTTTAATAATAAACATATAAAAATCCACTCACTGCACTGGACTACGTGGAAATGTACTCTTTATTTCACAAAATTGTTCCTGATTCGTTTGAGGTTTAATGAACTTGAACTCTTATCAGGCAGCGAGGCTTCGCATTTGTTGATTTAACCCAGGGGAGAGCTGTAATGCAACAAAAGAAGCGCCACAAAAGTCGGTGATCTTAGTCATTTGGCGTCATGCGGATTTCTTGTAGGATCTTGAACTTGGACGAGTTGGGAAATAAAGCAGAGCAATCAGAATTGGGTCGTCACCGATTGGAACTTAGTTCCATAGTTCCGATAAGCATTTATAATATGAAATCAAAAAAATAATAAAAAACGTAGAAGTATTTTATTCAAAGAGAAAAGTAAAAATATTATCAATTTTATATAATTAATTTGATTTATTTTGATAAACGGCACAAGTCTAAAATTAAATAAAAAATAATTTTAATTTAATTCTGAGACGCAGCAAATTTTCTTTGCCCTATATAAATATTTACATATGGCTCAGCTTTATGCCAAAAAGTATGCTTTAAAGTTTGTATCAAAACCAAAAAATATCCGCAGTCGAATTAACTTAAATGGATTTTCAATGATATTAAAGTAAAATTACCAAGATAAATGAATCATTTCGTGCGATATTAAATTACTTTTCCCATTTGACCCATCACGTTTTCATGGCAAAATCATTCCATAGAAACATACTCAACCAGCAAAACGATCTCATAACGTTTTAACACACATTTAACTTTAATAATTATTGAAAAGTATTCTTTATTATTGCATATTATACTAGCGATGTCGCCACATTTGGACAAGCCGATAGCATCCATTTATGACATGATGATAGAGCGCCACCGAAAACTTACTTCCGAGTCCACATCGAGAGATATTTCCATGGCGGCCCAAAAAGTACCCCGGGGGAAAGTCGAGGATGAAGCTATGTCCAAAACAAAGACATGGCCAAAGAAGCAGCACATCCCTTCCACAAAGGCGGTACGTGAAATGCCTTCATCGATTACCCTGGAGTCGGAATCCTATCGTCCACCAGGCACTGTCACGGCCTCACATCTGACGAAGAAGCAGACATTCATGAAGGTTATGCCCCCAGCAAACAAGGAGGTCATCAACAAGCTGGTAAAGAAGATGTCCATGGCTTGTGGCAGAGCCAGGGACGAGAACTTTGTCCCCGTACCGTCTGAGAAACCCACGAAGTCCGGAATTCAGCGCAAGGGTATGGCCACCCTTGGAACTTCCCGGAACAAACAAAAGTCCAACAAGTCCAATACGGATCGGCGGCCGTTGTCTCCAAGAAAGGCGGAACGTGGTCCCAACATGAAGAAGGTGGAACGCGTGCCGAAGGAGAAATTAATGGTCAAGGTTGCGCCTAAGCTCTCAAAGACTTCAGGTCTTCAAGAGAAAAGCGTGAGGGAATCCACTCGCTCACTTAAAACTGCGCCGCTTTCCAATGATCGCTGGCGAATCTAAAAATTATATAGATTCTTAGGACGACGACTGCGGAAAGTTACATCCAATCGAATTAGGAAATCTTGGCATCCCCCAAGAAGTTGAATCTTCCGACGACCATTTTGAAAACTACTTCAAATTTAAAGTAGAGTTGAAGGAAAAGAAATGGCAGAACAACTTCAGACCAAGCCATTGTCCCTGCTTAAAGATTGGATTCAATAAAAACGTAAAGTAAAAACATATGTTAATTGTTTAATTGTAGGGCAAATAAAAGAAAATTTATTTTGTTTTTTATATTTTATTTATTTTTATAATAAATTAGAATTTGTATTACTGCTGCTTAACATTCGGTTTCTTATACTTGTATTCTCTTGTTTATTAAGCCTAACATTTTGTGACACAAATTTTAAGCCAATTTTTGCGACGGCCAAAATTAATTTGACAAAAAGTATTTTTTAATGAAGGCATCAAGCCGACATTCAAACTTTAGCTTAGATCTAAATTTAGTAGCTTGTTTTTGCTTTTGTTTACTTTTGCCTTGTGTTTGTTTAATTTAAAATGCAACTACTACGGACTAACAATACTTGACTATATATATGGTACATATATATAGTGTATATAGAGTATGTCATTATTGGTGTTAGCAGTTTTCAATTTGAATAGTTTCTGGCTGCTGATTTCTCTGTATTGGTATCGGTATCGGTATCGTCTGTAAACGGGCGCCAAAAACGGGTTGGGGGTAAAGATTGGAGTTTGGAGTATTTATACAAAAGAAAACAATTGTTTCGATTCGGTTTTACAAAAATATTGTACACAATAAACACCTTTGTATAATCGTTTTTATCAAATTTCCTCTAGCCAAAGACTGGCACTCAGATCTCATATATTATAGGCTAATATGTTATATATATATACTCTTTAGTTTTCAGTTTGCCAGATTTGCTTTGCGCTTGCTTGACACGTAAATGAATTTTCTAAAACAAAAATTCAGGGCGCTCTCTCGTGATTTGTTTTTCTCTAGTTTTCCTAGTTTTTCCTTTTTTTGGTATGTGTTGTGAGATATGAAATACTTGAGGAATTCGTAGATACATTTGTCTAAAGCAAAGCCAAGCAAACATAAATGCCGTGTTTAAAAACAAAAACAATTGCTCTAATCTAACTAAAATGCAGCTACTTATGACTTGTAACTCACACGTTGCCTTCCTTAAACTTAAAACCTACTAGTAAATACGAATTGTTGACCAATCTGTGTATTATTGGGTTTGTGACTAAATTTTAGTTGAATTTCAAATTCAATTTCAGATTTCTTCTTTTTTCTTTTGTTGCTTGGGTGTTTTGGTAGCTTGTGTGTCGAAGACAATTGGATTGGTATAATTTAATTGCACAACAACTCTAGTTTTTCTATGTAATATTTTCTGCTAGCGTACAATTATTTCAGCCAAAGTTCTTTCAGTCTGAAAAAACAAACAAAATATTTGAGTAAAACGGATAAAAAACGAAAGAAGTCAAGTTTTTCACACAGAAAAGGCTTTAAACCGATTAGTAAAACATAAAAATAGTTAGTTGAGTGCGAAAATGAGTAGAAAAGTTATAAACAAATTAAATTACTTACAAAAAATAAATTTCTACAGGGGTTTCTGGTTTGTGTTTCCACAGGAATTTCTTTTGCTTGTGTCAGTTCCCTTTACGTTTAGTTTTTGGAAACAAACCAAAATGATTAATAAATTTATTTCACAAAATTTTGTTGGCCTCAAGTTTGCTCTACGGAATACAAAACTTATTTCTAAGGAGTTTCTCTCTCTCTCTATCGCTGGTTGTTGAAAAACAATGATTAAAGCTGGGTTTCACGATCTTTACAACATTTGTAGCTTCAGTCAGTGTGCCAGAGGGTAACCAAGCAGAAGAACATGCAACAGTTTTTGGGGGTTTTTGTATTTCTAACTAGGAGAGATCAGTAACAAATGCCCGCTAAGACAGTGCGTTTCAAAATGTTAAGGCAATGATTTCAACAGGATATTACTTCAAACAACTTATTTTAAATCTCAATATTTTGTTTAAATTAAGAAATAGTTTTTTTTTTAATAAATTATCTATTAAATTATGTTTGTATTTCTCTATTTTAGTAATCTCTTTATAAATAAATAAAATAGAAACCGGCTTTTAAATAATTTAAGTATTTAAGGTAACTAAAAAATCATCTTAAATCTTTGTAGAATCTTAGACTTTGTCCTGCCCATTATGAAACGCACCTTTCGTGTATACATGTGTGTGTGTTTTGTGAGTGTTAAAGTTACAATTAGTTGACGCTTGCTGGTTTCTTGTTGTTTTTCTGACCCTGGATCTTTGCTATTTTACGGTGAAAATGAGATGCTTAGAATTCAGTGCGCGTTGCCGCCGCCGCCATCGACATCGACTCAATGCTCTGACGCAGATTGTCATCGTTGTAGATCTTTTGGCAGACATTGCTCACCTTTTTCAGCAGATCGATGGCCGTCTGCAGCACCTGCTTCCACTTGTGCAGCTCATCCTCGTGCGCCATCTCCTGGTCGCGCAGCAGCTCCAGCCATTCCTGATTCGAGTTTGGTAGTTCCCTGGAAAAGCGAGAGAAACTATTAAAGGGATCTGTATATTTGAAATCATTATTGAACCTACTTTAAGGCCGCCAAACTGGGCAGGCGCGCCCGCCGACTGAGATCCACATCAATCCGTTCCTCCAGCCTCCAGAGCTTAAGTAATAATATCACATTTAATGCCAGCATCAAGCACAGCAACAGTATAACCAACAACGACAAGCCCTTGTGTTTGAGTCTGCTGTGTCCCTGTGGGCCGTGACCCATCGCCAGCTGCTGGCGGTCGCCGCCGCCGCCCAGGTGCAACTGCTGCTGCTGCTGCTGATGGTGGTGATGGTGCAACTGCTGCTGCTGCAGCTTTCCGCTTTCGAGCAGCAGCGAGTGACTGGAGGCGGCGCCGACTGCCGCCCCAGCAACGCCTCCCGCAGACAGCAATTGGGTCTCCAGGGGGTCGCCGCCGGAAAGGCCAGCCATGCTGCCGGCTTGGGCCGTGCCGCTTGCCTCCTCCAGGGGTCGGATTTGTGTGGCGGTACCTGCGGAGAAACGGGGACGAGCGTGGCGTCGAGAGGAATGGCAAATGGCAACAGTTAGAAATCAAATCATTTGAACGAAAAATTCCAAACTGAACATAAGCAGTGCGTGTCGGCGGTGCTGGGCAACAGAATCACAACATTAAGAGTACAACAAAAGATCGATTAACTACTAAATAAATCAGGCTGTAATAAAAAGCAAGTTCTTGGTCGATGTGGTCCGGCTAGCAGGTTGACACAAAAGTTCGAAGAAAATGAAGCCAAATCTTATCGATACTTTGATAAAGGTAAGGAAAAGTAAGCATTATATTGGGAAAAATAGTTCGATTCGGTTTAATAGAAAGGTAGGCATTCCAAAAATAAGGTCAAGTTCCATGGTTTATGATTGGTAACGTTTTTTTATACAATTTATGACTAATTAATCCTTATCTTTGCAAGCTTTTACTGTGTCATAAATCTAAATGAGTTTAATTTTGAGTAGTCTATTCACTATTTCTATTTTATATTTGTAATCTAGAGCTGGAAATAAAATCGATCTTGTAATCGATTAACTGATTTTTTTCAATTAGTTCTTATTTAAATACAAATATCGATAGATATGTGTCTGAAACAATAAACTTTAAACCTCTGATGAATATAAATGTATAATTTTAGTAATTTCAAGTTTTGCTTTAAGAATTTTTGAGTATCGATTTATTTGTATAATTTTTAGACAAATCGATTAACTGAAAATCGTATTATTTCAAGCTCTACTTCTAAGAGGTCTACAAAACCTTTACAACTGTATCTGCTTGATGCTATCGAGAGGGTGGGTCCGACCTCATATAAAGCCAAAAATATAGCGCTCATTTTCTTATAGAAAGTTTGATAAAAATATAAAAGAAAGTTAAAAAATTGATATATCGATAGTATCGAAAAAGTATCAGAAAATATCGCTGAGTAATATATGAAAAATATGGTAAAATTTGATAAATTAAAGTTCTAAATATTAAACACAATATAGACTTATCGATTTATCGCATATATATTTGTTATTTATACAATATCGATAAATCTGGCCTCCCTAACAAGCGGTAAATGCGCCGATGCTAAGATAACCCTTGGTTGCTTTTAACTATTATTCGTTTTAAAGATTTCACATGAATTTCTATTGGTAATATTTAGGAGAACACACCAAATTCTTAACATAAATCTTTGATGTTTATTTTACTACAAATGAAGTAAGCTTTCCTACATTTTCTATTATATAAATTACCTAATGAAATCCGTAATTATTCTTGCTTTAGAGATCTCATTAATTTGGCCTTTCTATTTTCCACACCTGTCAAAATTCGTTGCCTGCATTCGCTAGTTAGATAAGAAACGAAATAATCAACTACCTAAGTTGTTAACTGATAAGCTGACAGTGTTTTTAATTCCGTTTCTAGAAGACCACAGATAAATTAACCCCAAAATAATAATATCTATAAATTAAACACAAAATTTTCTTCTTTTAAGTGATTTAAGGATTTGCAAATAAGGCAAAATAAGCAATACTCTTTCTTTTTCCCAAAATAATTCAAGCTGTACCTCTGCTGCTCGACTGAAAGATAGTCTTACGATGATGCCAATGGGGATGCTGATGCTGATGATGGTTAAGCTGATGATGATGATGATGGTGGTGCGAGTGCCTGTGATCGTGTTCAGGCTGCTGACTGGCACCGTGATGATGGTGATGATGATGCATGTGCAGGTGCTGATGCTGCGCGGGTTGATGCGACGTCTCACGGGGATTATGTGGCGCCTCTTTGATGCTGTCATTGTCCGTACTGGTGGCTGTTGTTGTTACCGATTGCTGATTCATGCCTGTGATGTATGTTGGTTGTTGTAGCTGGTTGTGGCTTTTGGTTGTTGTGGTTGTTGTTGTTAACATGATGTTGATGTTGATGTTTAGTTGTGGTGGTCATGCGTGCGTTTTTGTGTTAGGTTAGAAGAAGCAATTGGCAATTGGCTTTTGGCAGTGTTATCGAATTCGGATTCTGATTGAATTGAATTAATTTCATTACAGTTTAAAGTTTAAAGTTGAGAGGAAAATTGCTTTGCTATTGTTGCTGTATTTGTTGTTGTTCTTGTTGTTGTGGTTGTTGCATTGTAGTTGTTAATTAAATCAAACTGCTTACCTCGCCTCGGCCTGCGTCCCTTGCCCTTGGCCGGCGGAATGCAAGTCTCGCTCTGGAGCGCATGCAATTGGGCTCCAAAGAAATCCTCCAGACCCGCCCACGTATTCTTCTCGATAAAGCCCTTGACAACGCCCCAAATAGATTTCTTGTACTTGATCTGAGTGTGAATCGATAGCATAGTGTGATCATCAACAGTTCTGTAAAAAAAAGAACCAGAAATTACAAGAAATTAAAGATGTTTCCTGCTGAAATGACTTACCTGGCCAGGCAGAAGTGTATGAGCACACTGAAACTGTCCGCATATGGAATGCCTGCATTAACACTATTTACGTCTATGGAATACAGTTCGCCCGGCTTGCTACACTCCCGCATGGTTTGGTATTCGGTCACCTACAGGGGGAGAGGGGGGGAATCAATATATGCAGTTTGCAATCAGTTTATTTATTCTATTCTATTTTCAGCACGCTGCACTCACTCACCTTTGAGGTCTTGGGTCCCACCGAGGCAGCCAATTGAACTGTGACGTTCACTGTGCGCACATTGAGACCCTCCTCGTTCTTGGACCACTCGCCCAGGATGAGGTCCGTTGACTTGCGCATGGCATGGAAGTCGGTGATAAATTTGGACCTGCTGAAGAGCAGATTGAACAGTGTGTCCACACTGATGGGCAGAATGGTGTGAACGATCTGGCGACCCTCGTGCGTCGAGGTGCACTCTGTGGTGGGCACAAATCTGGAAAGATAATGGAAGATATAATTAGTATTAACCCTCTAAAGCCCTATATCCTTCGTTATTGTGGAAAATGGCACTTAGATCGATAAATATATTCTACTTACGGCACATTATTCTCTTCCGAGTCGGACGAATCAGAGACATCCGTGGGCACAGTCTCGTCAACATTTTTGCCACCTTTTTTACTTGGCTTTCGCTTCGATTCCAGCTTGGGCTCCAGCGCTGTGGCGCCGGAAACGGATGTCATAGCGGATGTAGCTGCTGCTGCTGTGGCAGCTGCTATTGCCGATGAGTTTGAGCTCGTGCTGACCTTTTTCTCGGCACTCTTCTTATCGCTACCGCTACTGCTGGCTGCGGCCGTGCCTGATCCCGAAACCGATCCAGAGCCAGAGCCCGCCGTGTGGTTGGCGATGGTGGTGGAGGAGGCTGTGGTGGAGCCGGCAGTGCTGCTGCTGCTGGCACTGGCCACGGCGGCCATGGTGACGCTCACCGACTGCTCGGCGGGCTTAACGGAGCTGAGGGTCAGCTCCTTGGCGTTCTGCTTCATCTTCTTGTTCAGCTTGCGTGAGCTTTCCCTGGTCTTGTTGTTGTCGGAACCACTGGCCGAGGCGTTAGCCGAGGATTTGGAGGAGTTGAAGAAGTATTTCGTCTTGGACTTTCGCGGTGCACTGGCTCTGACGGCGCCGCCGCCGCTGCTGGCGCTGCTGTTGCCGCTCTGTGCCGGTAGCTGGGGATTCGACTGAGTGGACTGATTGGACTGCTGCGACTGGCGCTGTGACTGGCTATCGTCATCGATGGCCGTCTGGAAGTCGAAGTCCGTCTCGTTGTCGTTGTCCAGCGTGGGATCGATATAGTCCTCGTCGTCGGTGGTCAGGCCCAGCTCCTCGCCGTAACAGTTGTGCACATATTTCCAAATCTCCTGCGGCGAGAACTGCTTGTTCATCAGCGTGTTCTGCCAGACGCGAAAGAGCATCAAGAAACTCTTGTCGCGCGAGGTGAACGTGGCAAAGAAGTATTTGTCCTTGCCGCTGGCTATTGAAATGGCATTGGGTATGACCAAGGCTGTCTTCTCCTTGGTGATGGCCGTCACATCCTTCCACTTGATGCTCACGTAGGTCTCCCAGCTGAAGATGTTGGCATGGAAGCAGACGTAGTTCTGTGAAACGTACAGGCGGCCCTGAACCAGGATGTCACGTTGCAAGGCACACGAATAGTCTGTGGAATAAATAAAATGTATATTATAATTTATTAAAGTAATAATAGTTTTTAACTACATTTTTTAATTCAAAATTCAAATTTTTAACCCTCTATCTAGGCTTTAAAAGTGACTTGAGGCACTTCCCAGCAGACATAGAGCGGACTTAGTGCGGATGGATCCGAAAAATGTCCGCTAAAAATATTAAATACGGACAATGAATCAGACTTTCCGCATTAGTTTTGCTTAATGCTCAAAAACGGACGCGCAAACGGACGAATAGTGGACGAGTATCGCGAGCTCTCAGGATTATACCCGATAATGATGTCGTAAAAGGTCCAAAAACCAAAAACAGGACGTTCTGTCTGCTTGAAACCCGCAAAAGTATCGTTTTCGATATCAAAAACGAACGTTTTTAAAACGTTTTTGTACGCACGTTGAATTTTAATTAAAAACCAAAGCACTTTCATTCTGCTTTTATGTTTTATTGCTGTCAATTCAGACTGCTTTTGGATTATTCATAAATAACTCATTAAAAATACGATTAATATAAGAAGTCTTACTGAGTTGTTACGTGTTAATTCCGATCTTAAAAAACAAACTCATCGAGAGTTTTTACAGCATTTTAAGTTGTGCAAATATGGTTAGATCTATGCCGGGATCTCTTTCAAAGTGAACGTGACTAATTCCCCTAAAGGGAATAATTACGTTTACGAGAAAATATTCCATGCGAAAAACTCACCCACTATCAGGCGCTCATCGTTGGGCACGTCCTTGAAGAGCTTCTTGAAATCCTCAGCCCGCGATTTGTAGTTGGGATAGATGACGTTGTACCAGGACTTCTTCTTGGCTCGTTCCGATAGACGCGAGGGCTTGGCTGGCTTCTCGTTGGATGTGGAGCTGCTGCTGGTCACCTGCTGCTCCCTGTCGACGCGCAGCAGGCTCAGTTCGTGCGGTGTCAGATCGCTCAGACGGTGCTGGGTGGTGTCCTGCTGGGAGACAAGCGAGAGGGAGAGCTGATCAAACACCATGAGGATTTCCATTTATTTGGTGAACTGTGGCGGCGTGAACAAACATTTTAGGTCTAATTTAATGGCACCACCAGTTTCGATATCTTTGCTTTTTGGCCACCTGTTCGCTTTGCTTGTTAGCTCTTTTTTCTGCTTTTTTTTTGAGGTGATTCACCAACTGTTCCTAGGAAACTACTCTTCGACCAGGTGTTTGGTTTTATTCCTTATCACAGACCACACGCTTGTTGTTCGTTTACGACCCCCAATTATTTACACAAAGTTCGGGCTGCAGCAACGATCGTTATTATTATTTTTTTTTTGGCATTCGCTGAGACGCTTCGTCGCTTGTTGAATTCTAATTTGCTATTGCCAGCCGAGCAGGGCCAACGTCAATGGGAGCTCAACACACACACAAGCCTCCTTATCAATGGGTGGGAAAAAAGCTTGAGGCCCCACCAACAATTTATGTCGCGAGCTTTTGCATTGAAGGGTGATCCTAATCAGCTGCCGCCAGGTGTGGGAGAATGTAAACAATACATACTCACATATGCTCCCTATCGCCGAGCGATTAGATTGAGCTGTCAGATGGTCTCAGTGTCCCAGTGTCTGTCCGTCCATCTGCCTATCTATCTAACCATCCAGGTTTTTAGTAATCTGTCAATCGATTGATCGCTCTCCCTCGAGTGTAGTTTAATTTGATTTGAGCACTTAGCTGCGCCAATTTCACACCTTTTTCGGGGTGTGTGTGTGTGTGTTTGGAGCTAATGATTCGAATCAACAGAGTGTGCAGGTTTTGAAAGCTTGTCAAGCTTTTCTTCGAATATTCAAATATTCAAATAGAAACGGAAATAGTTGTGGGTTTGGCGACAAGCCCTTAACATTAAAAATTAAATATAGGAAAGGCAGTTGAACTTGAAGACAGTTTTGGGGTTTTTTTTTCTTGTGGAAAACCCAAGGCATTTGAATAATTTAATTATAAAAAAATAAGTTGTAAAGCGAAACAGTTGGCTTTAAAATACTTTTAGCCTATAGTCAATACTATAAAACCTTGAAAAACAAACAAAGATGTACTTTTTACTCATAAAATATACTTTTTCATTGTAACTTAGTTACGCAAAGCACCAAGTCATTGGAAATAATGTTTTATTATAGTAATTACGTTTTTGCCTTTATCCTTTTGAATTATCATGCTCACATTTAATAAATTAAGTCATAAACCGCTCGAAGTTTTCTGAGGCAAAGCAGACTTTGAGCGTACTTTACTGTGTATTTTTAGAAATGATGAAGTTAAAGAATAAAAAACTACTTCTTTTCAAAAATATCATGGTGTTTCAACCCCTACAATGTCAGGTCGGTCATTTACCACAACAGTTGTCATAGATAATGACTCATTACTCAGCTGCATATGGCTATAAAAATTGTTATGCTCGGTTAAAGCGTTTTAAAAATGCAATTTTATGAGTGCTACAAGACTGTCCTTAGCTATGAGTCATGTGTGGTCTGTTATCTGTGTTGCAATCTATGAGATTGTTATACATTTTTAACTTTTCCAAGAATGAAAGAGTTCAATTCATTTGTCGAAATTCTGGAAATCCCCCTTTTAATACCTTTTAATGGCTTTCTCAATCTAAACTCACCTCATCGCGTCCGTTGCTAGATGTGGACAATTTCGCCGCCTTGCCCTTGGAGCTGGTGGAGCTCTTCCGGCTGCTTGGGCTGTCCGCGCCACCTGGGGCGTTAAATCCGTTTGAATCGACGCTTTGCACTTGCTGATCCCGGCTCGAATCGCTGCCCACAATATTAATGCTGGGCGTGACTCCCTGGGCAGCTGTACTGGAAGTGGGGCCAGTGGGAGGACTAGTGGAAGAGACGGCCTGGGTTAAGCTATGGTTGCTGCCCGAGGACTCATTGCGCTGCGCAGGTGGAGATCCGCCGGCTGTGGCTGGGGCTGTGGAAGCGTTCTGTTTGGAGGACAACGATATGGAAACGCTGCTGTGCTCTAGACTACCGGTAGCTTCCTGTATGGTCAGGAGTTTGGTGCTCAATGTGCCGTTTGTGGTGCTCGTAATCGTGATCTCCTCGGTGATGGAATCGCGCCTGTAATGGCAATGGGAAATGAAATTAGTAATGGGATCTGTTTAATCCGCCGACTACATCTACACCGAGATTAAATGGGAAAAACTCTTGAACTAGGCATGCAAATTTGGAAGGTACTGATGTTTTAATCTCTTACGGAATTGGGCCAAGGCCTGGCTGGAGAGTTCCCGGAGCATTGACCCAAACACCTACCTGTCGCCACCATTGCTACCAGCAGTCGTTGTCCTCTCAGCGGACCTGGCATCCGTGAGTTCCTCCTCCGGCTGCGATTGCTGCTGCTGGGGGGGACTCGGCTCTGGGCAATCCTGCACCGATTGGCTCTGTGACTGTAACGGTGACTGTGACTGTGTCGGTGACGGTGACGCTGACTGTGACTGGAGCTGATCGGGCTGGGTGGTCTCGGGTATCATGTTGGCATTGGCAGGGGTCTTGCTACTGCTCGGTTTATCGGCAGTTGCAGTGGTTATGGTTACACTTGATGTTGTTGGGTTGTTTATATCAATATCTTTAATCCTACAATAAAATGCATATATAAACAAATCAAAAGAGCAAATGCTAAAAGAAAACACATGCCCAAAATAAAGGACGAAAAGAACCATTTGGGGGATCTAATATGTATTTTTACATTAAGATATATTCTAAATATTTGGGGGGATAAAATTGAAGTAACAGGGATTTTAGGGAATAACCAATTGAAATAATATTCATAACACCAGCTAAGTACTACAAAATGCAATATTTTTATACTGTTCAATATTTTTTAGGGATGTGGGAAAATATCGATAGGTAAATCCAGGTTTATTATTGCAATCTTCTGCTCGATATATCAGAACAATATAAAAAATAATTTGAAAATTTAATTAACGATATAATAATAAATAATAATAACGGAATAATCTCTCTTAGGTTTAAATATTATGGAAATATTTAACATGATTCCAACAAAGAAACTTCTCATTCCAATTACAACCCTTTAGCTATTTCATATTATATTTATTATTTCTTTTACAATTTCCTACTTGAACTTCTTAGATCAAGACACGCCTGGTTGCAAGATTGCAATTTATTAAAGAAATTAGTTCCAAGTAAATCAGATAAGGCCACGACCACAGGTGGTACCACTTGAGCTGTACAAATTTTATAAGCGACTATATAATTAATTATTTTAGGCTGATAAAAGTTAATTTTTTTTTTGTTTGAACAAAGACCTAACCAAGGAAATAAAAGAAATAATGAAAACAAATGTTTGAAGTAATTTTAGCAATAATTAAACTGATATATGGCACATATATGTCAGGAGTTGACAAGCAGATACTATTTGCCGAAATGCCACAGTGAAATCTTTAGAAGAAAGCTTTATTTTTCATATTCAAAACAAACAAAGCAAGTAATAACCGAGGCAAAGAGAACGAATTCGTAGGACTACTTTTGGTGTGATTTAATCTCAATTACGCAAATCATTTTTCCAAGTTCATTGACTTCGGATTAAACATTAACGATCTTCACAAAGAGTCATTAAGGTTTCCGCAAAACCACAATAAACCGTATTAGTCATCGATGGCGATAAGGATGCGCTTCACCATATGGCCAATACCAATTCCCATCGATAACTGGGAATTGGTAATTGTTAAGAAGACTTTCGTCTTAACTGATCGCTGGCTTAACTCATTTTCGCTTTCAAGTAATTTCCGTTAATTGTTCTCAGCGTTGATAGCGCACAGCTATAGCACACGACAAGACAGATAGTTTCCCCAAGCATACCAGAGGACCCGGTGTTTCCGACTTTTTCGCAACGTTCGCCGCAACATTTTGAACGCGCCTCGAAGAGTCAATCACAGTATACAATATTATTTTCAATTAGACGTGCTCCTGCCTCCGTGGGCCGCGACGGAATGGTGTACCAATTGCCATTAAACGATTGTAATCAATTCTATTGTGCACTATACTCTCCCATTCGGTGTGGGCGTGTGTGTGCCTTGTGGCACACAATTGTTATTATTTTTAATATATATATATATACGTATACGCTGCTTGGCTCTGATAAGCGGCGATAAGATACTTCCAGGGCTTAGCTCTTGATAAAGCGCTAAATGGCTGAGGCAAATCAGCTTTCGTGTGTGTGTGTTTGTTCAAACCAATAGAGTCTAGAGGGATTTAACCCACTTTTTCAATCCGAAATGGAAAGCTGAGAACAATTACCTACAATTATTGCAGTTATTAGGTATTTCTAGCGAAACTTGCAAGTGTTTTTTAAAAGGTTTGTTAAAGGGCAACTGCACCCAAAAGCTATAAATATAAGGTTACATATGCAAATTACTTTGTGACACACATTGAGGTTTAATGATTTTTTAAGTTTTTTAGGTACAGGAGTGCCTCTCAGGAAGTTTTAATAGAGACTGTCCATAAAGATAATTAATCTTATCAAAATATTTTTACATCAAGGTCTTCTCTAGCACTTGCAGACCATGGAAATCCACTCAAACATCCTTATCAGCGGGGTTCAAGTTCATGTAACATGGAATATACTTTGTTGGGATGAAAAACATCGCCAATTGAGTAAATACAAAATGAGTGGAGTAAAGAGCATTAAGCGACGATTACGATTCCCCCACATTAAGTGAGTGTACGTATTTATAATTGCGAATGTGTGAAAGATCAGAGATAATCTACACTGGGGGCTATAATGTGTATATAGAATTAATGTCTCTCTGTGTGCTTAAGGGAGGTTCAAGGGTTGCGAAAGCCAACTCAGATAAGACAGCGAATAACAAAGTATATGGCTAACCCCGTTTTTAGTTATTTTAAACATTAAAAAGTGAATGAATACTTGAAACTTGAATGAAGCTTGTTTCCTCTTAAATATTAAGGCAATTATATATAAAGTATATATATACTTTCAGAAGCCTCCAGGGGGCAATTGGCGATAACAGTATTCGGATAATGTCTAGAGAACAACCCCTTAATTGAGGTGGAGAAAACAATTCCGAGAATATTTCAGAGATCCAAGATAAAAACTGGTGATATTTGCAAAAAAGATCAATGTTATTTATAGATATTTTATTTGTAGGAATATATTTGGGGGTGGATATTATTTATGAGGTTGTAATGAATACAAACTGTTTATATTTAAAATGAATAACAAACAATATGTCTAGATATTATTCAATGAATCTTTGAATCACCCTGGTTTTTCTGAATACTTTCACTGAGCAATAAATAAGCTTTGCTGCATTTCTGGTTTATTATCTATGACTAAGAATTTTAAATGCAAATGTTTGGTATTTGTCAGGGAAAATTATAATCTCTGAGAATAAAGCATTTTTTTAATGTCACGCAATTAGTGATATATGCAATCATTTCTACACAGAGCAATTACGAATGAAATTGCACCGACTCGTAGCTAGAATAATAGATATATTGGGTGGTCGGGGACCTCCCCCAATTGAACTTTGGCCTTTTTACAAATGGAAGCCGGGTGCATTTCCGACATGAATGGCCGCCACTGGACATAAAAACCAAGTACCACATTTAGCTGTACAAATAATCCACTTCAATTACCCACAGCACCTAGAGTTTGGTTATTTTCTATAATGCTTAGCCATGGCAGGGAGAACCTTGCGAGCATTTAAACTCGGAGAAAAATCAATAGAGTGAAGAGTGGAAAGTGTATTACATTTTCTTTCGCTTGGGCTTCTTTGGTTCCACGATTATCGTTTTCCTCGGCGGCTTTTTTACTTCCTCCTTCGGCATTGGTTCGCTGTTTTTATATTGTTCGGCCAAAATCTATGTCATCGCTGAAAGGCGAAACAGACAAAAAAGTGGCCAAAAGTCTGGCAGAGACCAGAATCGGCCAGCGCGAAGAATTCGATGACGAAACGTAAACACGGCAGAAAATAATTCGTATTTTTAGCACAGCTCGGCGAAATGTCATTAATTTATGAACTATCCCACACGACAACGATGGCGCACGGCTCCGCTGTTTGCCGTTAATTATTTAATTAATTTTCCCTGTTTTAGTGTCGCAGTTTTTGCCAAGTTGCCGTTTTGTTTCTTCTGTTGATTGTCATTTGTTTGTTTGTTTGCTTTGTTGTTGTTTTGTTTTGTTTTCTAAGGCACGCGATGGCGTAAAATGCGAATTGAGGCACGAGAACTAAAAACCGAGAACTGAGAACCGAGAGAAGCGAGTCTAGAAACTAGAGAATTGCGAAGCGGGAGCTCGTGCCGGGCACGTCATCCCAGCTCGACGTTCCGATTTGCACTCAAGAGCAAACGGCGAGAGAATGGCAACAAATCCCCCTGGTTTGGTTTGGTTTGGTTCGGTGTTGCTTGGCCTGGGCCTGGGGTTGGAAAAATCAGCTCGAGGAGAGATAGGGGACGACCCACTGGTCGAACTTTGCATACGCTAGCTGAATTCTTCGCAGTCTGGTAAACATAACTCCTCCAAATGTGGATAGCCGTATCGCTTAAGACACCTTGTGGGAGGGGATTCCAACTACAAGCGCCTAGGCTAATCCAAATATATTTTCTGGCATTCGAGTTACGTGGAAAACGCTTCAGTGCACAAAAACCAAAAAATATACATATATATTTCGCTATATTACAGTGCGGGAGGGAAAGTATAAAAACTTTTGTAAATAATCCTTGGAAATTGCCCAATTATTCAACATTAATTAAAATCTTTTGGTTGCCAACATATGTATAATTATAGCCCACACTTTAATTAATTAAAAAGTGATTTAACAATTAACTACAGCAATTAAATTTTTACTACAAAAAGCTAAGCTTGAACAAGTTGTTAATTCTGTGAACCCAAACCTAATACCTATATAAATAAATTTATGAATGAAGTAGGTTACTTAATGTATTCCGTAAGTTCGCTACTATTTATGCATATTTATTAGAATTATCTTAAAACGTAATATGAAATTTGGAAAATGTATAAATAGGCTGGACGTTGTTTATTTATTTTAATATCCCAAAGGTCGATAAACTATTTCGAAAGCCAAATTTTCCATTGGATATTTGAATGGGAATTGTTCTTATTAATTTGTTATCTATTCATTTGACTAGCGATCCCTTCCATTCAACAAATAAACTGATAAGCAACGCAGCTATGATAATAAGTAAGTCGTATTTTGACCGACTTTACCCAAGAAATGTACTATAAAATCGATATCCCACAGGGCCTTACAATGCCGAAACGCCCTGTACCTTTCCTTATGTCCCTCCGAAAGTGCGAGGCAACTGTTGCGCAACACAAGAAGAGCTTCCAAAAGCTGGCTATCAAAATGCAAGTACGAGTGTGGGGCAGATACCTAGTGTCCTATCACTCCGGTGGCAAGGAGTGGGAAGAGCTAATGGGAAAGGGGTTAACAGGTAGATAAGCCGAAAACTGAAAGGAATAAAGAGGGGCATATATATGTAAGTATAAACGACATGCAATATGACCAGCAGCAATGGATTAAACATGCAAACCAGCGGGCAAACCTACACCACAAATTAACACGCATAACTCTTGGGTTTCAATTTTGCACAGAAAAATAAAATAAGATCAAGGATGTATCCATTATGTTCGAGATCTATTTCAATGGTGATGTTAATTAAGGCTTAATTTTTGTGGAAATTAACACGATCTGAGCTCTAATAGGAATATAAATTTTACTTTCGACTTAATAGAGTTTTATATTTATATATTTAGATAATTTATTTATTTTTAACTGCATAATGAGTTTAACTTTCAAATACAGAAAATGTTTTCAAAATGTTTCTAATTTAATTTAATTTAAAATAAATTTTATTTACAAATTTAAACCAAAATTTACCTTGATCTTATCTTAAATATGTGCAAAATTTAATATATATTTTATGTGTACATTTTAAAAATAAATTTAATGGTTTATATGGGGGTGTGGCAACTCACATGGGCGCCGCATTTAAGCTGGCAGTGCGTTTGTGCTTGCTGTGCGAAGGACGATGGAACAGACTCTGGGCGGTGGCCAAGGACTTGGGCAGAGCACCCTGGCTGGAGGACTTGCGTAAGGTGACCAGGCGTGATCCCAGACCCGTACTCGATACCGATCCCGAACCCGAACCCGATCCGGAGCAGGAGGAGGAGGAGGCCAGCGAGGAGCTCGACGAGGAGGTGGACTTCTGCTGATGGTGCTGGTTCTGCTGCTGTGCCCGCTGCTGTGTAACAAAATGCATGACAACGGCACTCGCTGCCGCCCCACAATTGCCGCTCTCAATTAATTGCTCACTTCGCGATGTTTGCTATATTAATTTTACTTTATATCCAGGGCTCGCTGGCAAAGAGCTCTTTTATTTACTTATTACTTCCTTTTACTTGGTACTTGCTGACGTCTGCGGAAGTTTCTTTTTGGTTTTGTGCGCTCGCATAGTTAACGAAATTCACTGCCACGTCGCGCTTTCGATGGATCTTGAGTGTCTGCACGATTAAATGCTATTTTTGGGCTACTTCAGTATGAGATTCATGTGTAAATTCAGGGGTTTCGTCTCCGCTCCGAACGATTCTTCACTTTTTTATGCGCATAAAAGGTATACGTCGCTGCCAGGGTTGCTAGGTGTGGGTGATGCCAGACGCCGCTCCAAGCACACGACTGATTCCACGTGAACGTGGCATTGGTGTCCAGAGAATTATCTTCTTTCCGTTTGACTTTGTTTATTTTGTGGACATTTGCTGGTTTTCAGTGAATAAAATGTGTGTATATTAAATGTCGGCAATTGTCGGCACCATGGCAACCCCCGGCCACAGCTGTGTGGGGATGCCAACTCGGGAAGAATAAAAGCCAGTTGGCAGCTCTTGTTTGCCCTAGATGGTCACACTGAACTCGTTTGATTTTCAACTTTTGTTTTAAATTTAATCAACTTTATTTAAATAATATCACAAGCAAATACACAACACTTGATTTTTTTTACAAAAACGTTTGTTCCCCTTGGCGAGAGTCAGGCAGCAGCATTAGGGCTATTGTAGGCGCTAGAAAGAGAAAATAAAATTTTTCAATAGAGGTAAGACGAAAATAAATTAAATTAAATTATAAGGAGATTAGTTTGATGAACAAAATCAATTAGAATGGCAAGTCTTAATAATACTCAAGCTAGAAAACCGTTTGGTGTCAGTACAATGCTCGAATTGCCGCTCTTCAGAAGTCCTCGAATCAGCGCCAAGTCATCGGGCGTCAAGGACCATCCGGTTAATTGGCCCACCGACTGCAATTCTGGGCAGCAGTCCATTAGTAACTGAAAACATATTTCACTTTATAAAATAGTTAATTAAAAGGTAAATTCTTACCTCCACTGAGGTCACAGTCAGTTCTGGAGCGAGAGTGAACCAAACATCCTCCAGCAACTTGAAGTCATGCTGCATAAATATGCTGGAAAAACAAGACAGGCTAATATTATATATTTCCTACAAACATATATGTAATCAATACCTCACTATATCCTCATCCGTAAGATCCACCGTGTCCACTGCCAACCGCTTCAGATCCGTGCAGTTGCAGAGGAAGGCCTTCAAGGAGCTCGTCATAATGGCGCTGCTTAGGATCTCCAAGCCCTCGAGCTGATGGAACTTGGCATTGGCTTGTACATACGACAGACTATCGATCATGTAGCAGTCGAGATCAATCAGAGAGGGGCACAGGCGCGCCAGCTTTCCCAGCTCGAGATTTCCCGACCCCTTGATCATCGTGAGATGTCGCAGATTTTGGCCAATGGGTCGCTCCAGCAGAGGCAGTAGCTCGGCCACCACAAACTTGTAAATCTTCAGCTTTCTCAGGGAGCGCGTATGCAGAGCCCTGAGGCAACCCGTCTTGGGGGAATCCAGATAGAGGGTCTCCAGCCGTGGACACGTCTGCATGATCACCTGGAGGGTGGCCTCATCCGTGCCCGTATCGTGCATATATTTCAAGCGGCACTTGAAGCGATCATCGACATTATCGTAGATGAACTTCAAGGCGGCGCCCACAAAGGAGTACGTGGACAGGGTCTCCACATGCGGACAGTGTTCCAGGATGAGGGCTATGTCGGAATAGCAAATATTTTCCTCGCCGGGCATGCCCACATCCACAACGGTTAAGGATGGGCCGCAGACTCCTTTGGCCAGGGCATCGATGCCGATTTCCGTGATGTCTGTCTCCCCGGAAATGTCCAAAATCTGCAGTCGTGTGCAGCACTTTCCGATCTCCTCCAGCAGACGATCATTGGCAATATAGGGCACATATAGCTTCACCAGCTGCTTGCACCTTCGCACTATTTCGTACATGTAGTGCATGTGCTCCTCCTTCACCCAGATTCCCTTGATATTCAAAACTCGCAGTCCAGCGCCCTGGGCAGCAATTACCTGAAGATACATCACCAAGGGATTTGGTTCATCAGGGGGAACTATGAAGTTAGCCCACAATTACCTGCAGAATCTTTTCGTAGTAGCTAAAGGGAAACACTTCCGTGACCAGAAAGGTTACCCCACAGTTGAGCAACATCTGTAGGCAGGTGAACCTCATGTTGGCCTCCAGGTAATCCGAGCTGAGGATCACCCTCAGCAGATCTTGGTATATATTGGATGTGGCTCCCAGCTGGGTCAGATACTCGTTCAACTCCACCATCACAATGTTGATGTCCAGGTGGACATCCGGGGCATACTGCACATAGCTGATGGTGGACACCAACAAGTTGGCCAGCTCAGCCAGGGAGCTGTCGCTCAGCGATCGCACGGTGCACTTCTTCGACATATGTATCTCTGTTTTGGTTTTCGCTCAGAAAGTAAACAAAATGCGACGCAGAAACCGATAAACTAAGAGCAGGAGAGCGAATCCTCGTGGTTATATCACTTGGGGATCAGAACACTGATATTTACTATGTTCCTCAACGATTCTTTAAACTTTTTCTGGTAACTATTTTTCGATTTTTACTATATTGGCTCTTAGGATGCGCCTACATATAACTATGTACTTTATATTTATAAACAAAAATAGATTCTAAAATTATATAGGCGATGGATAACAGTTTTGCACTCTGCGAACGAACGAGCGAGCCAACCGATCCGACAGCACAACGCGAACTGAGAAATGTTTGTTTATTAAACAATTTCTATATGAGACACAGGGTGTACAGTAGAGCTTCACAAAATGGAAGTTCTATACTTTATTCGACGAATTTGAGATTATCAAATCTCCAAATGAAATGTTAAACATAAAAATAAGATGAGTGTTTATCTCGAAGTCTCTTCAAAACTGGAATGTTTTGTATCAAAAGTTCGAGGTAGAGATTACCAACTGTAGACGAAAAACAGAGAGAGAGAATACTAAGAGAGAAGCGTTCCGTTTCTAGAAGAGATTCCTATGGCTGCAGGTAGCTGGGCAGCTTCATGCGCATAAACAGCCAGGTGGTAAAGAAGGAGACCAGGATAAAAATGAATCCCATGGCGGTCAGCAGCAGGCGATTCAGATTCGTCTTTCCCGGTGAATGGGTTTGGTCCATAATGATGAAGCCCAGGCCGCCGATGGTGAAGAGGAAGCTGCTGGCCAGACCCTCCATGATGTATTGCCCGTTGACGCGATACGGCATGAAGGCCACGGGACGCGAGTGTCCATGCTCGTCCACAGTGGCACCCACACTGGGTGGCTCCACGATGACATCGTAGATAATGCCTGGCAGAGGAATATTCATAGGGATTAATTTTTAAGAGCTTTATTGGGTGGAAATCACGAACCTCCAGTCACCAGAAAATAGGAGAGCAGAATCACACTGAAAACGGCCATGGGCGAGGGCATCGGGATGCTGAACTTGCGCACTTTGATGTTTGGCGGCACCAGAATGTGGAAGGGTATGTTATATAGTGTTTCGATCATGATTAATGCCACCGATATCTGCTATATCTAAAGTTAAGACTTTTTTTTGTTGTTTTGCCGGCGTAGGCGGTAGCGTTGCCAGTTACGCCTTTTTCCCGTCAAATCTGGCTCTTTTAAAGCCAATGGCTAGAAACCACCGTAAACAGAGGTCAGCGGGAATTATGGCTTTTTTAGTAGAGGCTACGGTCATACTTAGTTGCAACGAAATAAAACAAAAACAAACAAAAGGGAATTCCGGAATAAAATACATTAAATAACCGCGAAAAACAAAAAGTCTGCAAGCATGGCGGATGCCAATGCCGTAGGGCCAGGTATGCCAATGTTTAATCAACGAAAATTAATGAAAATCAAGCTAAAAGTCACTTTATTTATAGGTAAACAGCCGGCGACTGCGAAAAGGGTGCAAAACATCTTCGACCTGACCCAGTGGCAGAGATCCCGCGCCTACCACGATCTGATTGGGTTCATCAATGGCACCAGCTCGGCGATCCAGGGCATCAAGACCACCGACGAGATGCACGAGTCGGAAATGCTGCGCAAGCTGCTGGGCCTCTTCGAGTCGCTGGAGCAGCTGGTGGAGAAGCATCCGCCGCTGGAGCAGCCGCAGCGGTTCGGGAACAAGGCCTACCGGGACTGGGCGGGCGAAATGCGCGAACAGCTGCCGCAGTGGCTGCATCAGCTGCTGCCCGCCGCCAAGCAGAAGCATCAGACCGAGCTGGAGCTCTATCTGATGGAGTCGTTCGGCAATGCCACCAGGATTGACTATGGCACCGGCCATGAGCTCTCCTTCCTCTTCTTTCTGTGCGCCCTGTTTAAGGCGGAGATCCTGCAGGAGCAGGACATCGTAAGCGCCGCCCTTAGGCTGTTCAATCGCTATCTAGAGTTTGCCAGGCAGCTGCAGCGTACCTACAACATGGAGCCAGCGGGTAGCCAGGGCGTCTGGGCGCTGGACGACTTTCAGTTCGTGCCCTTCATCTGGGGCAGTGCACAGCTGGCGGGTAAGGCAGCCATTTCATGCTTGAATTCCCCTTATAATCTCATGCTCTTGGTTTTAGTCAAAAGCCCCTTTGATCCGTCGAAATTCGTGGACGAGCAGATCATCAGCGACTTCAAGGATCAGTTCATGTTCATCAGCTGCATCGATTACATCTGCAAGGTCAAAACTGGCCACTTTGGCGAGCACTCCAACCAACTGTGGAGCATCACGGATGTGCCATCGTGGGTGAAGATCAACGCGGGTCTGGTGAAGATGTACCAAAAGGAGGTGAGGTCTTGGATAAGGCTAATGTGTTCACCTTAAGCTTTCAACTTTCTGTCCCCAGATCTTGTCCAAATTCCCCGTGATTCAGCACGTGTACTTTGGGGAACTGATGTCCTTTGATGCCGTGCCTCCTGGGACGACGCTATCCAGCGCTCGATTGGGTCATGTTGCTCCGCCGCCGTCAAAACGTATCTGCATTGGAAAACCGAACTTGGTGCCGCCCGTTCCGGTAGCTGTTCCACCACCTCCGCCCGCCGAGGCTCTGCCCAGCAGCGACCTGAATGTCGGCGATTCCAGCAGCGAGAGCAGCGACAGTAGTGTGGTGCTGCGTGCCTCGGCCTCGTCGGCTTCTCTTGTGGCCGCCGCTGAGGGAGCTGGTGATAAGCCCAATACTCAGGCCGCCGAAGGAGAGGTCACCAAGGATCAGGCGGCAGAGTAAGCGATAAACATCTAACCTGTGTTACAAATTTCTTATTAATAGCGTTGACCCTCGGTCCAGTAAAAACTTTACACAAATATAGATTCGATTGTTTCATTTACAAGAGAAAGTTCTCATCTAAAATGTTTTCATTACCAACATTTATTAGCCAAGCTTCTCGTGTTTAACGAATTTCACTCCATTTAATTCAAAATTTTCACGCCAAAATCACAATAAAGAAAATGTAAATCCTAAGCCGAATTTGATGGAAACAAATGTACATTAGCCCCACTCCTTTGGAGTTTCAACCAAAACCGAGAAACAAAAGTAAAAGGAAACAGTAAAAACACAAAAAATCAATATGGCAAATGAGGCATGCAAATAGATGAACTTACATCAACTTTTGCGGATGTTCTGCCGGCTTAAAAATAAGATGAAATTATAACAAATGCAGAAAAAGGGAGAAAAGTGGCAAAAATATAAAACAAAAAACTTTTTTGTGGCGTCTCTCTTTTTCCCCGTGGAAGCATAATCATTTATTTTCGACACATCATTTATCAAACGGTGCGGCAGGAGCCAGCTTGTCACGCCCCCTTCGCAATCCTGTCTCCTCATTTCGTCACTTAAAAACTTCCTCCGGCATAGTTTTTTCCTGGCGTTGATGTTCTTTTATAAATTTTTAGGAGAAAATAGCGAGGTAGCGCTTGCATTAAAACTTTGCCGACGCATTTTGATTGAAGACTCTGGAAAACATGAAAATGTCTGGTTTTCTTCCTTTGTCCGGAGCAAAGAGCAGCAGGCCAACTACGGTCATGTTCATCAATTTGACCCCGCCCATCTGCGGACGAGGAGGGTATTCTGGGTTCTGGGTTGAGTTTCGGTTTTGTGTTCTTGCAAATTGAATGAAATTTGTGGGCGAGCTGTTAGCAGGCGTTCGAACAAGGCTCAAACATGATTGAAGGGCGATAGATGGACTCTCTGGGGGGAGGCAGAGGGTAGCGGTCGCTGATGGATGGATGAATGGCCAGGTGGATGGACCTTTTGACTTGGTAAAATCTAAAATGTGGCTTCAAACAGCATTTGAACCAAGATTTCTGCACCAGCAGTTGTGTTTGGGCGGTTCTGAGAAATGAGGGATATCTTTAGCATTAAATTTGGGTCTATTGTTTTGATTGTTGGCAATGGGATGGGTAATGTATGTACGCAAATGGACATATTAATCTTGATTTTCATAAAACTGGACTGTGGCTGTATTATTTAAAGTTTTTAGTTTTTGTTAAGAAAATGTAACAAATAAGTTTCTAATTTACGTTTTCTAAGTTACTAACACTTTTTCGATCATCACAGGTGATTTCTCACCTTTCCGCGCTGCCAATTACCTTGTGGTCTCCTCGTCGTTCAACTCCGCACATCTAATTACATACACACCTTCTGCCCGCCTCGACTTTGTCCAAAGAATGTGCAATTTGCGAAAGTTTAAGATTTTTGCCAAGGAAGTCGAGAAGTGGCAGAAGCCCCACACTGAGCTGAGCTGCACGCAGGGGACAAAGGAGACGATGAAGTCGGGGTACAAATAAGTCTGCGGAGTCACTCTTAAACCGTAGCCAATACACATAACTGGCACAAAGTTGTCGCAAAAAGTTCGAAGAGCTCGAACGGAACTTAAAACGAAGGTAGAGCAACTTTCACGTGTGCAGAGTGAAAATTAGTTATTGTCTATGGATAGTGGGTGGTAAAATACAACCTGATGGCACAGGGAAAAATGGGAAATAATTTCTGTATTTAAAATGGATTTAAGAACCAAATTTCTAACTTGTTATTTTAAGTCAATAAATAGCTTCAAATAGTGGTTTACTTATGTAATTACAATAATTTGTATATTTATAGCATTTTTACATAGCTACAAAACATATTTGTTGTATATTCTATAAAATATCTTTCTTTCTTTTTTTTCTCAGTGTCTCAAAAAGGGTTTGAACAAATTCTTTGTTCCACCGCCTCTAGAAGAGGGAAACTTCCTGATCAACTTTCATGTTTTCTTAGCCAAAGAAGTCGACCCATGGATGGGGCCGAAGTTCAACTTGCAACTTTGTGTGCGACATTGACCAGAGCCCAAAAGAGCTCCCCACCTTCCATTATTCCATTTCTAGATTAACTATGGCCAAAATATGCGACTGGCTTTTGGGGTTCTCAGTTTCTGGTTCTTCTGGTTGCACAATGTTTTCCTTCTGTTTTGTGACTCCATTTACCATTTGTGTGTTTAACCAGCTGACGGCACAAAACACCCGCTGCCAGCCTGAGCTTTCCCTTAGCCATGACACGGACACGCCCTGAACAGAAACAGGATCCCAAATAATGAATACCAACAAGTTGGCTTTTTAAGTTGGCAAGAATACTGGCTACCTTTTAAGGATTCAGAATATGGGGAAATATTTTGGCTCTAAAAACATTTGTAGAAGTTTAAGAACCTACCTAAAGAACATTTTTAAAGCAGCCTAGAAAAATCTTTAAAAAAATTAAAACGTTGTAATCCCTTCGAGTCGCCTTTTAAGTGTCAAAACTCATCACATCCTTGCACGTAAAAAATACCCTCTTGTGTAGCCGACTAACCAAAGAGTTAAACGTCCCTGAGCCGAACGCATTGTTGGTTCAGAAGTGACCAGGAGGAGCTGGTATGCCGAGCCAGGAGATAGACGCCTGCTGTGTGTGGTGGAAAATCGAGGGTGGCTGAGTGGCATCTGCCTTTTTCAGTTTGCCATTGAAGGACAGCAACAGAAGGCGATTGAAAAACAGATCTGTGAATTATGTTTTGTGACTGCCGTTGTTTTCGGTAGAAGCTGGTCAAATCCATAATTTAATTTTCAGTTTTAGTTTACGATTTGCCTTTATTCAGAGGCCTTTTTGAGTGTCGATTCTGTTTAGGATGCATTAGATTTAAGGCTGCAGTTTGATTTAGGAAACTGAAGTTCCTAAAACATAAAATATAATCTTCTCTCCTGAGGTCCAGCCAGCAATGAGTAAGCTTTAAGTAATTGAATTTCTCAGCTTACCATTTTTACAATTACTCCGTCTTCCCCTTTTATTTTGTAACCACTCGAGAGCAATCCCTAATTCCGCTGGAATTACAAAGATTAACGCTAATTTCCGACTACCAACTGGGGCTTCCTAAACCCCTCCCGAACAGCCCCCGCCTAACCCGCCAAGTCATCAAAGGTTACAAATCACTGGCAGCTTCAGCCAACTTAAAATATTATCCCAAATGGTTTAAGGAAAACTTCGTCATGCAAACATGACTTGCCAGGCTTCGGGCATCATTCGCGGTGCTAGTGGGTGGGGTTTTCCTTTTTTTTTTGTTGGTAGCTGTGGGAAATTCAAAAGCGGCGGATGAAAACGCATCTGAAATAAGCGCTGCGAAATTGCAGC